CCAGCTGGGGAGGTGAGGATCCAACCACAGCTTTGTGTTCTTTGGGACTTCGGCAGCCACGGCCACGTCTCAGCGAGAAACAGGCAGGCAGCACCCAGTTCAGGTCTGCATCCCCTGGGCAGTTAGAGGAGCTCGGCTCTCCACTCACCCGCTAGGGGTCAGCGTCAGCAGAGCGCTCGCCTGGACCGAGGTTACCTGGCCCCTCCGGCTAGTTCAGCCTCACACCATCCTGCTGACCCCAAGGAATCACTGAGTCCCGTAAGCCTCCATTCCCACAGCTACCAAATCAAGGTAACACTCGTTGCCTTGGTCACAAATTGACAGTCACTTGGCCCTGAATCAAGGCCAGCAGCTTCCTGACACTGTTGGTTTCAAGCAGGAGCCTAAAGAGATGTCTTTCTATGGTCTGTTGGCCATTTCAGAACTTGGGCAGTGAAATAGTCAGTTCATTAGAAAGAAACAGCTTGAAGCAACCCCACCACCACCACCACTCCGGTGAGGGCTGTGAGCGTGGCCCAGGACGGAGGCACCCTCATTTACTGGGACCATGCCATGCTGGGACCTGGAGCGCCAAGCCAGCCCTCCCCCGTGCCTGTTTTGTTTTGTTGAGCTTCAGTATACATGAAGGTGTGGACAGCTATTTTGAGGAGAACAGGAGACTCTACAACAGCCATTCCTGACTTCCCTAATGTCTGGTTTTGAAGACCTAAAACGCCTTCCTCATTCTGTTCGGATCAGTTTTATACTACGTTGTTTTATATGAATTCTCTGTATGTGAAGACATGGGCAGCTATTTGGAAGAAAACAAGAGACAATATGATAGACAGTGAAGATCTCAGGTCGTCTAGCTTTGAAATTTATACCTCTTACACTGCTTTCTTATGTCCTATTTTGTTCTGTTTTGTTGTGTTTAACTTTACCCCCTTTAAAATAAAAAAATTTAAAAATAAAAAAGAAACAAAAACCAAATTGAGGGTCGCATTTAAGTGAGATCATAGACACAAACGCGTGCCAGAAGCTCCAGTGCACGAGGTGACACAGCTGCGCCTCAGAGCCAGGCAGACTCCAGCTCTGTTATCTGTTGTATAAATAAATGGGTAAGAAGATGTCACAGTGCGTTAACAACTGAGAAAGAATCTTCCTGCTAGTTATGACCTGCACAATAAAAGTAAAGCATATCAAACAGCTGGCTACCTATATAAATCAGATAAAACATTGTTTAGATTTTTTCCCTTGAAGATGTTTTTAAGCAGAGGTTACTTCAAAACAGTGAAAAACTAGGGGCGATCTGCGGTTTAGTTAACTGTGTCCTTTGATCTAGGAAAAATAAAAGATATTCTTACCCAAAACAGGGAGAAAACAGGACAATGGAGAAAAAAAAAAAAAAAGAATGTGTTACTCAGAAGATCAGCACAGGAAAGATGTTTTAAAAGTCTGAGTTATGAATTGCTCTCTTCGTGAACAGAGCACGCTGTTGGATTGTTTAGATGTTATGGTCAGATGGGAAGAAGGGCCAAGAAATTCCAGGTGTCAAGAGTAAATAGGAGGTCCAGCTGAATCCCACACGGGGCTATTTGTTTAGAGCTGGATTCCAGCAGAAACGCCTACTCAGCCAGAAACCTCTGAGCTGGGGCAGAAAACTCAGTCTGTCCTACCGAGAGAGCATTTTCCCTGCTACTTAAAACCATGAAGTAAGACTTTGGAAACTGTCTTCGATGGATGTTTGCTCCATTTTGGCCAGAATGTAAATTTTACAAAAGAACAAAGCTATGGAAGGTCCGGGGAGGGGAGCGGGGACTTGCAGCCCATCCCGGGATCCCTGAGGGTCTGCAGGGACTTCTTGTCCCCTGTGTAAAGCTGGCCTTCCCAGAGCACCAACTTCTCTTGAGAAAAATTCTGGAAACTCCTGGGCCAGCTGAAACTACGTAGGACAAGTTCTGCCGTTTTCTAAATGGATGCTCAAGAAACATAAATCCCAAGCCACTGTCCTGAGATACTTTTCTTCTTCCTCTTGGCCAAAGCCACCAAAGGATGAAAAAGCACGTGTATACCAGGAAATTAACCCCAGATTCCCAATTTCTGCCTTGGTTTTTTTTTTTTTTTTTTTTTTTTTTTTTCTCCTGTTGTGGTTGCTTGTTTGTTTTTCTTGCAGAGCAAAAGGTGCTATTGGTCCCCCTGTGGATATCTGGGCAGGTCCCACTTGAGGATAAACTCAAAGCCCAAGGCCATCCCCCGAGAGGTCAGACCAGAGGTCTGAGCTTGTGGCGTGGAGCCCTCAGCATCTTACACCAGGCCCACGCAGCCCAGGCTGAGTCTGCACCACTGCTCAAAGAGACCGTGAGCCCAGGTAAGTGACTCCTTTTCTGTGCCTCAGTCTGCTCAGCTGAAAAATGGGAAATATAATAAAACCCACCAGCATCTAATATGTTGCATTCAACACTTTAAATTTAAATGAACATCTAAACTTATTAAAACCACATGAAGACTGGATTAAGCATATCTTCAAAATTCAGGAAGCTGGTGACTTTGCAGTCTGAGGAGCACCTGGCATGGGATGGCACGCTGGATGATGACGATGGCAGGAAAGTGCCACCCCGTCCTGGCTCCTCCTCCAGGCACACACAGAACATTTCTTACCCAGGGGACTCAGGCCCGTGCCACCAAGCAAGGTAATGAAACAGGGCAGGGGCAGTTGGGCACAGACACAGGAGCCCAGCGTTGTCCCCCGGAGGTGCCCGAGACATCGGCTGCTGCCCTCTTTCCCCCTCAGACTCCACTGGGGAGACTCCTCCTGCCACCAAGGGCATGCCACCCATGCTCCCCTTCACTGCTGCCACTGAGGACAGCACACGGGGCCACAGGAGGTGGCACTGATAGAGGAGACCCAAGGAGGAGAGCAAGGGTCCAGCAGACCCGCTGGAAGCAGAGAGCCCTGACCGCCCTGTGCTCAGCAGGTCACAGGCTTCAGTCTCCAACACTCTGGACAAAGACAGAGGTGACAGCCATCATCAGCCAACGGGACTACGAACCACAGGAAGGAAGTGGAGCTCAGGCCCACATGCTCAGGGACTCAGATAGCACAGCTGCGACAGGGGAATTCCAGACCCACCTCGGGGCTGCAGCTATAGAGAGCGGGGCTTTGTGGGGCTGCTGGGCCTCATGTTTGCATATGGTGTGATCGTCCTGGTGGAGAAGGACAGCGTCCTCCAGGACCTGGGTGTCATCCTAAGGTCTCCATGTGTCGATTGCAGGCACATTTGGGGGACAAAAGGGGACAGAACCTCCGTTCCAAAGAAACTAGCAGAAAAAAAATTAATTAGCACAGCTACACAGACGATTTCTGATCCCTGCCGTGAGCTGTATTTTTAATGCATGTGGTTCCTGACGTCTGTGCACACATCTCACTCCTGCTTCCTTAAACATGAAACATAAACATGAAATAGCCCACCTGCTAAGTCCGAGACCATTTTCCCAAAAGAAGGCCATCAGCACACCAGGTCTGGAGGCCGCTGATCTGAATTTGTAAAATGAAAACGATCCCTTCGTTTCCAAGTTTGGGAGTATTGTCTTAAATAAAACTGAGCTGCTTTGGTCTTGTTTTGTTATGCGGCTTCTGCTGTCGGGCATTTAGGCCAAGGGGAGCCACTAACCCTAGAAGGAGGTTTCCTGCGTCCCCTGGGGTGGAGCCCCTCCTGGGCGCCCACTGCAGCATCCCCAGAACTGGAGAGCTTTTGGTGAGCGCTGCCTGGGAAATGCCAGCCTGGGTTCACGTTATTACATTAGCTGGGACCTGGCCTGTTCCATGCCCCAGACAGGCACGTCCTTGAGAGAGGAAAGAATCAGGAGTTTCCGGCTCACTTCCTTGCTGTGTGGGTCGAACTGGCTTGTCTGATGAGAGAAATGAGGTCCCACATCTCATCCGCACACCAAGCTGAGATCACTGTCTCCTGGAGCAGCAGAGGGGCCGAGAAATCGCAGGGGAAATGTGAAGACTCCTCCCTGGCCCCAGGCCCGAGAGCGCTGATGGGACCGTTTTGGGTAGGGCAGAAGGTGATGGGGTCTAAGGTCGCCCTGGATTCTAATGCACAGGCTGAGGTTGACACGCACAGAGCCCAGGGATTACAAAGTGTCCTCCCTTTCAGACCCCAATTAGGCTCCCACAGGCCTGGATCCGAAAGGCTCTTAGTCCCTGGGCAATGCCGTGCCATATGATGTGTCAGGTGAGAGAATCAGGTGCAGGCTTGGCAGAGAAAGGAGGACTGTGTCACTTAACTAATTTGGCATCTGGAGCTGCCTGAGGGTCTCCCCCGGGTCTCCTCAGATGTCCCCCACGCCTGTTTGCTAATAAGCCTAGACTCCATCCTGCCCAGTGCTAACTCAGCATCCATCCATCCTGATTCCCATTCGGACTAGAACACCACCTGCTATTACTTTCTCATGAAATAGTTACTGGTTTCGGCAGAAGAGGATGGTGGTAAGCAGCTCCCGAACCGTACTTCAAATACTGGATTTGCCACCTACACCTGGTTAGGACTAGTGTCAGGATAGATCGTCTAATTGCCCTGCCTCAGTCTACCCATCTGTAAAATGGGAAGAATAAGCCCCAGTAGTTCACCAAGCATTGTGAGGATTAAACAAGCAAATCCACACAGAGATCTAGAGCAACGTGGAAGTTTTCAGAAAGTGTTGGCTCTTTATTCTTTGGGGGAAACAAATCTGCTCCAGGCTCTAAGGGCTACTGAGTAGATTAAAGCTGTGTTGCGGCTGGGTCTGGGAGACGGACACACAGACAGATGAATCGTGATCCACGTGACTAAGCTTTCATGGTGTTGTACAAAACTCTGGGAGGATCTTGAGGAGAGTGTGGAGGGGCAGGACAGGAAGGCTTCCTGAAAGAGGTGGCAGCAGACTGGGCCTGGAAGGGCACGATGACACCCCAGGCTCAGTGACCCAGAAGAGAGGACAGGGACGAGTCGAGAGTGCAGCTGTCAGCACCTCCAAGGAGTCTGGCGGCCACACAGGGCAAAGCCACAAGACAGGCCCTGCAGGCTCGGGCGTCCGCACCAGGCAGCGGCAGGGTGTTCCGTGGGGCTGCTGTGGAGGGGGCAGCAGCAGGAGGAGGAGGACTTCCCGGAGTTTCACGAGGCACAAACTCCAGGTCAGTCCCTGCCTCTGCCCTGCAGGAAATCCTGTCATCCCTCCAGGACATATATGCGGCTCTGAGGACGGGAGCAAGGCCTCGGACTTGGGCTTTTCCTGCCTCGGGCAGGTCCCGCAGCTCCTCTGGCTCCACCAGGAGAAGGAAAGGATTTCAGTCGTTACTGCGATGAGAAAGACTGCACTGGGCCATCATCAAACATCAGACTAGAGACCCGGCCCTGACAGGTGCCGCGCGGAGGCGGGGCAAGGCGTTTCCCCACCATGCTGCGGTGTGCGAGGGTCATTTTGCTTGGATTGTTTTTGCAAAAGTCCTGCTCCCTGGCTGCAGCCCCAGAACAGGTAAGATGAAACTTGCACATTTTTTATTTTTGAATTTTCGTGATGTGTTCAAAGGCAGTCTGTTTTCCCACATTAACAGGAGTGAAGGGTCCTATCTGGACTTCCAGAACCTCAAGAGAGCTTGCAAGAATAGAACCCTAAAGGGGGGTGCGCCCTGGTTCCGCAGTGTGCTGGCCCAGGTGTCCTAGTCCTGGAGTCGCTCCTGCTGTGGCGACGGCTGATTCCACTGCTGGCTCCTCTTCCTCTTCTGGATTTGTGAATTCTGGGTTTCCTGTGGTGTGACCAGCTCACGGCAGGGAATTCCTGCGTGCTGCGTTTGCAAGGGTGGAAAATACAGACAGCTGTAGAGAGATGCTCTGGGGAGCTGCGGGGTGGTGCTGTCCTGCTAAGGACAGAAAGTATCCGAAATAGTTACAAAGCCCGCTGGGCTGGGTGCTCGGCCATCTCCAAGCTCCTGCCTCCCCAGGGCTATGCAGTTTCCCTGTTTGCCTCTGCTGAGTTTATCAGCACGCAGGACCCTGGGGCGGGTCACACGGCTTTCTTGTGGGGCCCAGAGTATGCAGAGCAGAGGGCCGTCCGGGCGACTATTTAAAATGTGTTTTTGCCATATCTGATTTCGGGTCTAAGACTAAATCTGACACATGAACCAGGCATATTTCCACCAGCCAGAGGCCTCCAGCGGGGCTGTCTCTTGATAAGACTTTTCCTAAAAACATGGAAAATGGCATTGCCATCCATCGGGGCATTAGGAGGTGAGCTTCGTGAGCCTGTGAGGTGGACATTTCAGAGCCCAGCAGAGGTTGGTAGCTGGACCCTGAGAGAGTCACTGAACCCCCTCAAACCCCTTTGCTCACCTGAACTTGCTCCACAAATAGTGTAACGAGAGTCACCCGCATCTTCATCACCAAGTGTCGCCTGTCGTGCAGAAATTCAGCCTTGGCTGAAGCTGAGTCTGCTTTTCAGAAGGGACAAGTTATAAATACTGAGCCAAAGAGACATTCCACCCAAAAAGGCACTTTGAAGACCACGGGGTTTCTTTAAGAGAGAGTAGCAAATCCAGCCTCCTAGAAAAGAAAGTCAAGTAATGTTACCCTACACACCTACGCAAGGAAAATCCTGCTTTTAAAAAAGAAAACTAGCAGCTGGCCATGATGGTACACTCTTGACATCACAGCACTCAGGAGGCTGAGGCAGGAGAATCATCACAAGTTTGAAGCCAGGCTGGGCTACATAGAGAGTTCAAGGCTACATCACGAACTGCACAGTGAGACCCTGTCTGTAAAATCAAAAGAGGAAAAGAAAAAATAGAGGTGTCCTTACAGCCAAAGGGGATTAATTCACATGGTATCCAAGGGTGGCTTCTATCCATTTGCAAAGCCTATCCTGTGCTATTTGAGTTGTAAGGATCCCCATGTGACAGCTTCTGGTAGAAACAGATGTGATGTTTCATGTGACACCTGGGTGCAGGGAAGAGAGAGGGTTCCTGAAGGGATGAGAAGGCCAGCAATCACCACGTGTCCCTACCCTGGTCCCTGCACCAGCGCTGGCTCAGTTTCCCTAAAAGGAGGCTGCTGATGTTTGCCCTGATTATCTCTGGAGCACAAAGCTCATATAACATAACGCCCCTGGGAGAGTGTACCCAGAGAAATTGGGGACATCAGTCCCCACACCTCACCTGCAGGCCACAGCTGGACGTGCAGGATGAGCTGTGAGAAACGCAGAGGCAGGAGACCTGGATGTTGTAAGATGTTTTTAAGCAGCGGTTACCGTGCTAAATACCTGTCTCTCACGCAGCTGTGTGAGGTCCCCACTTTATGCATTTAATCAACAAGCATGTGCCGGCATCCCTGCATGCCACACACTTGCTGGGGATTCAGGATTTAGCACCAGGAAACACAGAAAGGAGCCGGGTCCTCCTAGGCCTTCCTTTCTAGTTGGATTGTCACCCAGGGCTGCAGCTGTTTCTGCAACGGGGAGGGCACGGTGCCCAGAAGTTCGCACCCTGAGGGCGCTGGAGCCAGAGTCCATGTGGGACCCACGTGGAAACACTGAGGCCTTCTGGCCCCGAGTTGCCCACTGTACAGTGTTCCCGTTTGAAACACAGATTCTGAGTGCTGCCTCAGTTTCCTGGCTTGGGTAAGAGGGAGTGGTGGCATTGCCCCGCCTTGCAGGACACCGGGCTGCAGCCCGCAGCTGGCAAACCAGTGCCTCTCCCCTCTCCCCTCACCACAGCCGTGATACCAATGCTAAGATTTCCAGGCGACACTGGCAGCCTCACATCCGTTGCTGCTGGTTCACCCCTTGCCATCCCGGACATCACCGAGACCGAGTCAGCCGGGAGGGGGGGCCGGTCAGACGCTTCACCAGGCTCTGCTAACGGGATTTGGTGTCCTCGGCTGTGTCTGCACAGGGAAACCGATGTGACAAGAAGATTGTCCTAACCGTCACCACCCCGTGCCAGCCCTGCACAGTCAGACTCCCGTGCCTGAATGGTTTCACCTCCGCGGGAGTCCAGGACTGCAGGTACTCACTGTGCAAAAATAAACCTCAGCACGCTAGGAATCCTAACTCCCAAGAGAAATGCCCCGCTCAAAAGCTGCAAAATAAGCCCACGACTTGTCTCTTGCTGAGACTCCACCGAACCCCCACTGGGGTCACTCACAACTTACAGCCCTAATCCAAAGCTCATCAATCTCATCAATCACATTTTAAAACAAACTGACCATGCTGTACCCAATTGCACTGCGTTTGCACATAATTCTCCCTTCTTTAGTTTGAAAATCTGGGCTTTGTTCTGCTTGGAAAAAGTCCTCACCTGAGCCCGTCAAAGCTGCGGTCTACGAGGCACCTTCTTGGTAAACGGGGCCCGTCAGAATCAGAACCCGGAGAAAGGGCACAGGTGAATTCTAGCTTGGTTGAAGGTTGTGTGAATGTTTGCATTAGGATTAGGGTTCTCATCACTCAGGATGGGCCCTCCCCGGTGGACAGCAGGGTGTTCACTGGCCGCGGGGTGCAGCTGTCTTATCCTTAGCTCCCTAACTTAGAGAGCAGCACTGACCCATGAGTCCACTTTCAACTCAGGAATGAATAATGGGTGTTTTTGTGTGAAATGAAAAACGTATTGCTGTCATATGATGCTATTTTAAATCTCATGTTTTTTTAGAAACAGTGTTTTTTAAACACTATCTATATATCAAAACCAAAATCATTATTTTTAATAGAAGTTTCCCAATCTGAGCCAGCCTACAATAAACAAAATATGAAGCCGCTGACCACTAAATTACCCAGTGCAGTGACACAGTCCCAAAAAGTTTCGTTTCCTATTAGAATTAGACCGGAGGTTAAAACCACGTGGCTCCTCACTGAGAAGGAGCTCACGCTGACTGCTCTTTTGTTCAGGGCCTGGTGGGCTTTTTAACAAACAGGTTACATCCCGCCCATTCTCGGCGCGTGGGCATGACGATACAATTTTGTGTCCATCCTGTTTTAGAACTGAAAACTTCCGTCTGTCACTAATTTATGTGACAGCCTGGCTCTTCTGTTTTGTTGGATGGTTTTGAGTTTCTCCCTCCTCCTCCTCCTCCTCCTCCTCCTCCTCCTCATGCTCCTCCTGCTCCTCCTCCTGCTCCTCCTCATGCTCCTCCTGCTCCTCCTCCTGCTCCTCCTCCTCCTGCTCCTCCTCCTCCTGCTCCTGCTCCTCCTCATGCTCCCCCTCCTGCTCCTCCTCCTCCTCCTGCTCCTCCTCATGCTCCTCCTGCTCCTCCTCCTCCTGCTCCTCCTCATGCTCCTCCTGCTCCTCCTCCTCCTGCTCCTCCTCCTGCTCCTCCTCCTCCTGCTCCTCCTCCTGCTCCTCCTCCTCCTCCTCCTCCTCCTCCTCCTCCTCCTCCTCCTCCTCCTCATGCTCCTCTTCCCTCTCCTCTTCCTCCAGCCTCTCCCTCTCCCCTCCTCCTTCTTCCTCTTCTCTTTTTCAGTACTGGGAGTTGAACCCAGAACATTTACACCCCCAGCCGTTTTTTACTTTTTATTTTGAGACAAGGTCTGGCCAAGATGCCCACGTTCAAGTCTGACTTGAGACTCTCCTGCCTCAGCCTCCCCAAGTGATGTTATTACCAGTGTGCACCACTACACCCAGCTGCATGAGGGAGTTTTTTTAAAAGGAATTTTTTTTCTTACTTTTTATCGGTACCGGGGATTGAACTCATGACCGCCAGGTGCTTATGCCACTGAGCTAAATCCCCAGCCCTCTTTAAAAGGACTTTTTTGAAGTACGCCTGACATACAAAGAGCTGTACACATTTACCATACACAATCTGGTAAATTTAGGGGTACTTATAGACCACGAAACTATCACCCCAAAGATATCCATCTCTGCCTGAAGTTTTCCCCACACTTTTCTGCGATAAGAACACTTGATCAGAAGATCCTAGTAGGAAATTTTCAAGCATCCACTTTTAAGTTAACACTATGGTTAACTCCAGGCACGCTGCCCTGCAACAGCCCCTGGGACCTCCTCATCTGACACGGAGCCGAAAGCTTCGGGCCTTTTGCTGAATACCCATGTCTGCATCCCTCCATCCCACAGTAACCCCCTCTACCGTGTGCTTCTCTGAGCTGGACTGTGTGACTTTCCTGGTGTAAGTGGGTGACGCAGCATCTCACTCGGTACCCTCCTGTCTAACTCAGCCCACCTGCGTACAAGCCAGGAGCCCCGACCACACGCCCGTCCTGCGTCTCCACTGCTTCCCGCTCACCCGTCCGCAGGGCTTGGCTTGCATCGGTGGCTTGGCTGTCGAGACTCCTACATGCCACATGGGGCTGGACACATTTCTCCTTGAGATCCTGACTTTAACTCCTTTCGATCCATCCCCAGAAAGAGGACGGGTGGATTGTATGCTCGTTCTGTTTTTAATATTTTGAAGAACTTCATACTGTTGATCCACTGTGGCTGCCCGGTTTACGTTCCACAAAGTACACGGGGCATCTCCGTCTCCTCTACATCCTGACACAGGCTGGTGGCCTTTGGGTGGGTTTGGGTTTTTGGGATTTTTTTTTTTTTTTGTTTTGGTCTTTTTTCTTTTCTGGTACGGGGGTATCGAACTCATGACCTCGTGCTTGCCAGGTAGGCACTGTGCCACTGACTGTGTCCCCAGATACAGCTCAGCAGCATAAGAGCCCACCTCTGAAAGGGCTTTGACAGTAGCCGCCCTACCAGGGGAGTCGCTGGCTTGTGGTTTTGATTTGCCTTTCTCTGATGATTCGTGACACTGGGCACATTTGCACTTGCCCGGTGGCATCTTGCACGTCTGCCCAGATCGGTTCTTGAGCGGATATTCGCTTCTGCCATTGGCTTCTTCCTCCGCCACCTCTCCCTGGTAGTGATCTCAGCCATCCAGAGCAAAATGTCCTTCTCCCATACCTCGCCTGCCCGCAGACCAAGCGGCTCGGCTGTGAACCAACTGCGCTTTGGGGACTGGGTTAGGAATCAGCGCTGAGCTCACCCTCACTCTGCTCTTCCCAACAACAGCCCAGCTGAAGGACTGATGTCTCTAGAAATGCTACCGTCCCCTCCTGGAATAACTCAGGGAGGCAGAGAGCCCTGTAAAAAGGGGCTGGCATTTTACCTCCATGGGATCACTATTCCAGAGCTGCACACCCGCCAGAACTAGAAACTGTTCTGAGGAAGCCACCATCACATCTCCCACAAGGATATATGGTAGATACAGCTCACCACAGTACGCTGTCTCTGCCTCATAACTTCTCGGGTATCCGTAGTAAAGATCCTAATAGGAAGCCACACATTTGTTTTCCTATGCGTTGTGCAACTCACGATTTTTGCCTTCTTGCTTTGGTCACTAGGAGGCTCACTAACAAGCTTGAAGGCCCATCCCCCAGCACGAGCCAAGGCACATCATTTATTTCATCTGCTAAGCTCATTTCTGGTATCATTTTAGTTCCTTCCTTCTCTCTTCAGTATTTCTTGAATTTTTTATCCATTTCTAACAATTAAAAGAACTCCTGATTTAGTTTCTTTCTACCTAGAAAGCAAATATGCTCTATCTGCATTTTTTAAAAGACCGTATAAATCACTAAATAGCCACCCAGGGCAATCCCAACCCACCAGCCCCCCGCAGGGCTCTGATTAAGCATGGGCCCCTCTCTCCCAGGTACTACCTCTCACTCTCTGTATTTGAACCCGGCTGCCGTCAAGTCTGCCAGAAGAACCAATCCCAGCCCGAGTGCTGCCCTGGTCACTGGGGCCCAGACTGCATGGGTAAGTGGCATGACCCGGGCTCTGACCTTGGCTTCTCAAGACCCCGTTTCATGTAAAATCAAGATGCACGAAGCCCTGGAGAAGAAAGAGGTGAGCATCTTTTTCTGGAAATTTCCATTCCAGGCTACCTGCATAAAATGTTTCATGTCCCCTTGGTTTTTCTAAGGAAATCAACCCAGGCATAGTGGCTCAGGCCTACGATCCCAGCACTCTGAGAGGCTGAGGCAGGAGAATCTTAACTTTAAATCCTGCCTTGGCAACTCAGCAAGACACTGTTTCAAAGTTTAAAAAAATATATATGGGAATGTAGCTCAGTGCAAAGGCCCTGGGTTCAACCTCCAGTGTCAAAATGAAAGGTCCCAACAAAGAAATCTCTTTGCTGCAGTTAGAGACCTCTCCAAGAGAATTCCTTTGTAAGTTGGAAAAGGGGGTGATTGAAAAAACACACATTTTTATTTTAAAAAAATAATTTAGCAAAGAGAGATGCTAGCATTATAATCCCAGATATTACTTCTTTAAGAAGAAGTTCCATTACATCTCAAAGACTATAGCAAATAACTATTAAATATTATAATAATTTTAGTCTTAAGACAGAATATCAAATTCTACAATGTTGAATGTATAATGCCTTAATATAAAGAAACCGTAAGGTAACTTTATAAAGTTACATGCAATACAGGTAGACATAGAATTAATTCTGAAGAGTTTCTATGGTAACAGAAACCACTAGCAAATCTTAGCCATGATAGATTTCTGTGATCATGCCTAATATTTGTTAGATGGAATTGAACCTTCATCCTTGGTATAGGTTATTATTACACAGTGACCCCAGCTTTGTTGTGATACTCAAGTTATTTGAAATTCTCTCCCATTTTGACCATCGAAGTCAGAAATGTGAGCTCATAAATTCGCTACCTATCTTCTACCGTGTAACGAAAACACTCCTTAAGATCATCTTAGGAGGGAGACATTAGTCTCTTACACTCTGTGATATTTTCCCCTGATTAAAGTAACATGGCTGAGTTGTGTACCGCCTGGGAAGTTTAGAAAGGTTTAAAACAGGAAAATGTCAGCTTGTGTTCTGTCACGGGTGGAAACCTTGAATACTTTGACCATTTCACTCTCTACAAGAGTCCTAAATCACGGCGCCCACGCGCAGCTGCCTCCTTTCCTGCTAATGAGTGAAATGCCCTCCACTACTCCCCACCCCTGACCTGAGGTCCCGGCGGGGTCCTGGGCTCTGTGTCATCCAGTGCGAGTTTGAAACCTCTCTCCGAGCTAGACAGCTTTCTCCGCATTCTGCTTACTAGAAATCAGATAGTCCAACGTCCCCTCATACAAGTTTCTTTGTGGGATGGAAGTGATAAGGTACATTCGAGGGGGGGGGGCAGCGCCTCCCCTGCCCTTCCATCCTCTTCCTAAGCCCTTCCAGCTTCTCGGTCGGTGCCCGGAGGGTCAAGGCTTGGGGTCTAGCCTCCCAGCCCTTCCCTCCCCTGCCCACCCGGTGTTATTCCCCCCAGGGTGCTGGCACTAAGAGCTTAGCACCTCAGGATCAAATGCAGCAGTCCACGTTTCCCAAGCGATTACTGGACCCCCAGACCCCGAGGACCTTCCCCTCAGTTCCGTGTATGGGGGTGCGCTTTGAGTGACCGCAGGCATCTTGGTAGAACAGATGTTTGGATTCTTGCCCGGCTTCTAGCCCATGGACCTAATCTGCTGCTAGGTTAGGGGTCACACACGCTGCAGACAAGCGACAGGCGTCAGCAGGCCCGACAGAGCAAGTGGCCGACCACAGCCGGGGGCCGAAGACAGCCTGGAACCTCCCGGCAGGGGACCTGCTGCCCGGCCTCAGCTCCTTAGCTGTCCCAAGAGGCCACATGCCCTGCTTCACAGAACGGCAGGTGCGATTCTTGCCACTGTAACCCAAGTGACAGAAAGGGCTCTCGGAGTGAAATGAGCTTCCCACCGTGCCACGGGCCAGCGAATGTGGTGCTTTTCCTCCCCAGGACCGGGAGGGTCTCACAGAGCCCTTGAATGTCCAGGCATTTCCTTTGGGGCGGTCTCAAGGCCACGGAGACCAAGGCCGGGACATCACTCCTGTCGCCCTCCCTTGGGGGCCGAAGGGTGTCGCCCTTTATCTTCATATTCCATGCATACGAGCTGGGGAGCAAGGCTTCCTTCCTCTCAGGAAAAAGACAAATCCTCAGCTCGCCGGCCCTGTCACCCCTGCCCTTAGAGGTGATGACAAGCACCCTCTGACAAGGCCACGGGGAGCTGCTGACAGCGTCCCCTCCTGGCCTTTGGGGGGAAGCGCATTCCGGCCTGGGGGTACCCACTCCCGGGCCCCATGCTCCCCCCACCAACTCGGGTGCTTTGGAAAGCATGTGGGTAGTGTCTCCCCCAGATAAGGAAGGAGGCCATGGTCCGCGCTGAACACCTGGAAGGTGCAGACAGCGGCCTCCACCGGCCTGTAAATGCAGAATGAGCCTCGAGCTCTCACCTGCAGGGGCTAGTGTCTCCCGCTCTCCCCATTAAACTGGCCCTGCTTTTACCTGGTGTGTGGTGGAGGTCTCCTCTCAGTGCAGAGACAGATTTTTAACTTTGAAACTTAGTCATATTGCAACAGCAAAAATTTTACTGAAAGAGAAATGCTTTGGTGTTTTTTGTTTTTTGGTTTTTTTCAGTACTGGGGATTGAACACAGGCTTCACGCTAACACTAACGCCATTCTGGGTCTTGTTTACTTACTTAATTTTTTTGGACAGGGTCTGGCTAACTCCCTAAGCTGCCCAGCCTGGGCTCAAACCCATGATCCTCCGCCTCAGTCTCTCAGCGGGCTGGGCACACAGGCCTGCACCACCCTGCCCGCATGAAATGCTTTCTATCTGTACATCTGTTCTTTTTATGGCACCATGAATTTATGGGCTTTATGCAACAACCAAAGGAGTAGAATCCAGCGTGTGCAGGGAGGTCTCATCTGAAGTCACCACGGCCCAAGCGATCATCCTGTTATTTCGGAGAGCAGTGGCCTTGATGGCTTTTTTTACCAAATTCCTCGACATTGACTTTTTTTAAAAAATACACTGCACGGGTTGCGAATCACAGACAACGCAGACTGAGGCCGTTCTTTCCGGCTTTCATTTTTTTCCCTGCCAAATAACACAGTCAGATGTGCTTCACCAGGGTTTCCCGGGCGGAGGTGGCCTGGGAACTATCAGGACACGAGTCCTGCTGGCCCTGTGCACAGAGGCTTTAAGCAAAGGTGGTGATGTGCCTGGGGCACCCCTTCTCTCAGGAGCCCAGGTCACAGCGGGTCCCTGGCCCCTCAGGCAGGAAGCGGACTGTCAGCCTCTAGGCAAACAGACGGCTGGTGATTTGCTGACAGCTTACACTGGCTGGATCTGCTGTGTGGGAAAAGTCTGGGTGACCAGACGGAAATGTGAGAATGGCCTGAACACCTTATCAGCACCTTTGACCCCGCAGTGCCTCAGAAACGCCCTGGTGGCACATTCTACAATCTCTCTCTCAAGGGCGGTTGCTGACAACACTTATTTTACCCTGCTCGTTCTTAATGGGGTGGAGGGAGAGGAAATGATTTGAAAGGCAGCCAATAAATGTATCCTTTTGCCTCACAAATGTATTTTTAAACTTTCTTTTTTTTTGAGACAGAGTCCCTCTATGTAGTTCAGGCTGGTCTAGAGCTCACTTTGTAGCCCAGGCGGGTCTCGAACTCACAATGATCCTCCTGCCTCAGCTTCCAGAGTACTGAAATTACAGGTGTGCACCGACAAATGTATTTTAAAACCACACAGATATTTTCACAGATTCTTAAGATCTTCTATTCAGGTCAGAAGATGAGGACTCACTAATTCTGCACTCAGACCAGCTTCTTTGTCCAGAGTGCTTCCCGAGGTTGGCCAGCTCCTAAAAATCAAGCACTTATTAAGCACACACAGATTTCCAGGTACAGTCGCATGACAATGTTCCTGTTGGTGATGACATTGCTCTCGATGGCAGTGGCCTAGGTGATTCCTCTGGGGACAGCAGGGTCATGTGTCCTCTCCATGATGCTCACACGCAGTAAATCACCCCCATTCCATGTTCCCGGTGTGGAACAGTTCCCGGCTGCTTTTCTGCGGGCAGCTTTGCAGATCTCGGGGTGTGCTGTCGTGGCTTCCTTGGGGACCGGCTTCCCCTGGGACAGTCCCCTCCCCAGTGACCCAAAACGGATGGGCCAGAGAAGCATCTTAGAGGGCTGCCTGATGATTAAAAGGCTGAGTAACTCCCCAGGCCCTGACACAATCACACTCTTGGGAGCTGGCGGGGAGTGGGGGGGTCCCCAGTTTCAGGGTCCAGCCTGCACTAGAACTGGGCTATATTCCCATCAGCCCCTCTGCCCTGTGTGCTTCTGCTGGGCGTGGAGTGAGAGGCTGGGCGGAGGGGGCATGGTGCCCGGAGGAAGGGGAGTCCAACTGGCCTGCCAGGGATCATCTGGAGGCTTTTATAGGTAAACAGAGGCAACTTGAGATCATACAAGTGAAAGAAATCTGACTCGCATTTGTAAATAGCGTACTGTCTCCCTAGTAAAAAACAAAAACCTGAATGTACAATAGATATTCTAACAGTGGAAGGGAAAGAAAGTGCCCAAAAGTCAAGGACAGCAGGGTTGGGGAAGGAGAGGAGGAGGAAGGGAAGAGACTCTATGTGTACAGGAGTGTGTGTGTGTGCACGTGTGTGTGCACGTGTGTGTACAGGGCAGATAGCTGTGCTACTGATCTGTTACTTCATCCAAAAGAACAGACTGTGCCTTCCTTGTTTGTTTGATCATTTCTTTTGTGCCTAAATCTTGTAACCTGAACTACCTCTAAGATAACAATATGCAATATATTAATTAGTGCTAATTTCCTACTTTTTTGGGAAATTCTGTATCATTTCTATCCTTTTTTCTCTTTTGCTATTTTAAAATATTTTTTTTCAACATGGCCTGCCAGGAAGGCCTGG